GGGTAAACTTCTCTACCCTTTCTGAGCCTCAGTGTCCCTATCATGCCATTTCTCCACCCAATCTGTCTCAAAGAGGTGTGAGGAAGATAAAGACTTAAGGTGTTTTCATAAGATTTGCTAGCCTGGAAGGAACACTTGACGTGATGGTGGTGGTGGTGGTGGTGTCAGTAGTCTTAGCAAGTCTGATCAGACGCGTTCCCTCGTTGGTCAGATTGTCCGGGCCATTTCTGTTCTCTGCCCTCCTGGAAAATTCATTTCCCCCCAAATCCTTCCCTACCTCATCCAAAGGGCCCTCTAGGAGTGGCACTGATGGTGAAGATATTAAGGGGATAACCTATGGACTGATTATTTTATTTTGTTGTTGTTGTTTTCGTTTGCTACCCTTCACTTGAAACCACAAACACCTTGTTTCAGCTCCTCTTGGAAGGTGTTTCTCCTTTTGGATCAATGATGGTTTCTCTTAAAGGACCAGGGTAGCTGAGTTTAGGCTTGGGGAAGATTGGGAGCCCAGAAGCCCCCTTTGGCAAGGGCTTCTGGCTTCCTGTCCTGCCCACATTACTGACTCCTGTAGGAAGGGCCATTGATTTCCCTCTTGGCCTGAACCTTTGAAAATCAGTACTTTACAGGTCTGCAAAGTCTCCGGACGCCATCTCAGCCAGGAAGAAATAGTACACGTAATCTACGCACCCATCTCAGGTGCCACGTTGAGAGCTGAAGTATGGTGGTGTGAGGATAGTAACTGGGACGGGTGAGAATTCAGCTCCTGGTAAGAATAAGAGCCAGCCCATATCTGGTTAGCCCTGCCATGTTCCCTCTCTCCCTTCTTCTAACCTAGCAATTAGTATATAGTGAGTGCCCACTCACAATCCAGAGCTCTTTCCACTGGATCCCAGTACATCCCTGTAATCATGTCAACAAATGTTTGAGTGCCTACTGTGTATCCTGCAAGTCCCAGCTAAAATCCCACCTTCTACAGGAAGCCTTTCCCAAATCCTCTTAGTTCTAGTATCTTCCCTCTATTGATTATTTCCAATTCATCCTGTATATAACTTGTTTGTGCATACTGTTTTGCATGTTATTACTCCCAACAGAGTGTGAGCCAATCAAGGGCAAGGATTGTTTTTTACCTTTCTTTGTATCCTCAATGCTTAGCACAGTACCTGGGACATAGTAGGGGCTTAATAAATGTTTATTTACTGTCAGGAGATGGGCAGCATACTTCATCATTAGTACACTGGAATCCTGACTGGTCATTACACTGATCGGAGTTCTTAAGTCTTTCAAAGTTCCTTTTCTTTCCATTGTTATATAAATTGCGCTACTTTTGCTTATTTCATTCTGCAACTGTTCATGTAAGTCTTCTCAGGATTCTCTGAAGCCACCCTTGCCAGACTGTCCTATATATCCATCCCTGTGCCCAGCTGCACTGGGGACAGAAGGAGACCCAGTTTTTGCCCTCCAAGGGTTCACAGTCTAGCTAAGGAGACAAGTATTGAAAATTAAATAATGATACAACATTGAGGGAAGTGTCAGAGGTTCCTGAGTAACACGGAGACAAAAGTTAACTGGGGGTTAATGGAACAGTGGAGTAGCAGAATCATAAGCTTAGAGGTGAAAGGGACCTCCAAGGTCATCTCATATACAACCTCATATTACAAAGAAACTGAGGCCCCGGGAAGTTATGTTTGGGAAAACTTCCTGATTGGAAAGGACCTTGAGCATTACCATTGCAGGATGTGTAGGAGCTGGCTACCTATGCAGAGTTCAGAGAGAAATTTGATTAGAGACAGTACATTTGGGGTCTTCTGTGGCTGCTGAATGGATCCCAGGTGTTTGCCCTAGATTGGCATCGAGTCTGGGAGAAGGATATTGTCTTTTCCCCAGATTTTCCAGTTTCTTAAGTGCAGCTGTTTCTGCCCCAGTGCAGAAGCTGCCTAGGAATACATGTGTTCTCACAAAGAATGCTAATTGTGTCTCTGTCATCTCACTGCTGACCATCTGGCCACCTGGCCTTGGCCAGGACCAGAAGTGCTGACCACTTGGCACTCCTTGGTTGTTGGCTGGCTTGTGTGCTGATGACTTGGCAACATTGGTGCTCAATGTGAGGTAACATCCTGTCCCCTTGTCTTGCTAGCCTCTGGCAGAAGAGTGATTTGGGGAAGGAGTTAATAATCAGATAGATCTTTCAAATCAGCCTAAACAAAAATTTGTGCAGAAGAGAGGGGGAGAAAAGGGGTCATCTTGGTCCAGTTTATTAGATGACTCCAGAATGGATGTCCTTTCTAAGGAAAATCCCCACAATGCTGAGCTATTAGGCAGTGTCCAGGGGCTCTCAGGTCACTGAGAATTCCCTCCCCCCTGAGAAAATGATCATACTCCTACACATGACATATTTGTTCCTACCTCCAAACCTTCACTTAACATAGTTCCTCCCTCCTGGAGTTCCTTTCTTCCTTCAAGGCTCAGCTCCTCCAGGAAGCTTTCACTGATTACTCCACCCCACAATGACCCTCCTTTCTCCAAGCTCCTCTAGCCCCTATTGTCAAACTACATGATTTAGAATACGATTAACTACTGTACTTTCTAGTCTTGTTCTTTTTTTTTTTTTGGCATGACAGTTGGAGTTAAGTGACTTGCAGGGTCACACAGCTAGTGTCTGAGGCTAGATTTGAACTTGGGTCTTCCTGACTCCATGGCCAGTGCTCTATCCACTGAGCTACCTAGCTGCCCCTCAGTCTTGTTCTTTAACTGTTTCATGGGGATAGGGCCCGTCTCCCCAACTAGACTGCTGTTAACTTCTTTTTTTGTTGTTTTTTAAATTTTATTAATTTATTTTGATTTATCAACAATCACTTCCATATGTTTTTGAGTTTAAAATTTTTCTCCCCCTTCCTCCCCACCATGCTCCCCGAGATGGTGCACAATCTGATACAGGCTATACATTTACGTTCCTATTAAACATATTTTCACATTAGTGATGTTATAAGTAAAAATTAAAACCAATAGGGGGAACCATCAGAAAAAAGGAAACAAAACTCAACAGAAGAGAAAAAAATAGCAATTCAATTTTCATAGTTCTTTCTTTGGACGTGGACAGCATTCTCCATCATGAGGCCTCTGGACATGTCTTAGATCCTTGTATTGCTGGGAAGGGTTCAGTTTATCAGTATTAGTTATTGCACAACGTGACTGTTATTGTGTACATGCTGTTAACTTCTTGATGATGGGGATCACACCTTACATGTTTTTGTCTCCCTCACAGAGCCTAGCCTAACCCTATACTGAACACAAAGTTGGTTCTCAGTACAGGCTGGAAGGTTGGTTCACTTGAAATGCAGGTTGTTCTTTTTATAAATATTCTAGGATACATGCTCTTGAAAGCAACTCTCTCACATCTATTCCTGGAGTAAGATAAATACTATATGTAAGATAATTGAGGTCTAGTCTTGTCTTTTGTCGCTTATTAGCTATATAACCTCAATTGTCTTATCAATAAAATGGAAATCCTAGGGTTTAGAACTGGAAGGGGCCTTAAATATTATCTGGTTCATCCTCTCCCTTCCCATCCCCCCATTTTGTAGATGAGTAAACCGACCTTGAATGAAATTAAATTGCTTTCCCAAGGTCACACAGATTGCAAGTTCAGAGTAGGAGGTATTTGAACCCAGGTTCTGTGACTTCATTTTCAAAGTTTGCTGGTCCAAGCTAAATAACACCTGATCTGCATAAAGGCAGGAACTGTGTTAAATGATCTCTTGAAGTTTCTTCCAGCCCCAAGACCAGTGTTTCCAAGTCTTAGGAAAATGGCTGGCCCCTGGCTTCACTTTCCTTAAGAGTGGGAATGCCTCCATTCAGAGCTCCAGCTCTACTCTGTCTTTGCAGAGCCTTTCTCTAGTTAATGATTGGCTTTTCATACTTCTGGGATTTGGAATAATTCCTCCCCCTTTTCACTCCCACCTCTCTTTCCTCCCTTCCTCAGCAGTTCCATAAACCCCGCCTTTCTTTTCTTAGAGCTGTGACTAATCATGACTGAGTTTCCTTCTGTGAAAGAAGTACCCCCTTGGAGACCCACAGGGTAGATTGGACTATGTACGTAGGGCCGGTCAAAGCCCTCCTATATCTGTGGCACAAGAGGGGTCATTCTTCAGGCCTGTTAAGGCAGGGTTGCCAAATGGAGAGAGAAGTCTGGGCCAAGAGGTCTAGTCCAGCTCATCCTCCACTCAGCTGCCGAAGTGATTTTCTTGTAAACTCGCGTCTAACCATGCCACTGCCCTGCTCAGTAAATGCCAGTAGTTCCCTGTTGCCTTGAGGATAAAATATGCGTTCTGACTTTTAAAGTCCTCCATGACCTGGCCCCAGCCTGACTTCCTGGACTGATTGTGTATTATTGCCCATCCCACATGCTGCATTCCAGCCAAATTGGGCTTTCTGGTCTTTAGTCATAGCATTCCATCTTCTGTCTCCGTGTCTTTCCTGTCCCCCACGCCAACCCCAATTTCTGTGTCTTCTTTACCTTTTACTTAACTTTTATTGTTGTTCAGTTGTTTCACTTGTGTCTGACTCTTCATAGCCCCATTTGGGGTTTTCTTGGCAAAGATACTGGAGTGCCATTTCCTTCTCCAACTCATTTTAAAGATGAGGAAACTGAGGAAAACAGGGCTAAATGACTTGCCCAGGGTCACAGAGCTGAGGCCAGATTTGAACTAACAAAGATGAATCTTTCTGATTCTAGGCCCAGCACTCTGTGCACTGCACTACTTAGCTGCCCAAAGCACTTAATGGTAGGCACTTAATAAATCCTCATTGATTAGTTGGTAAATAAGTCAGCGTCCCCTGCCCATTGTTCCTAATGGTGCTCAGACCTGAAAACATTTCAGAAATCTACCCATTTCACAGACTGAGGGATGGATGAGGCCATCTTATTTTAGCCACTCCAAGATACTGTTTCTCCAAGCCAGCGACTAAATACAATTCTTCTTATTTGTTATTTTTCCCTATAGAGAAAACTGGAAAGATCCTGAAAGATTTCTTCCGGTTCTATGAAGACCAGTATGGAGTTGCTCTCTTCAACAGCATGCGCTATGAGATCGAAGGCACTGGGGGGCCCCAGGCCCAGCTGCTCTGGCGAAAGGTAAGAGGATACACTATTATATGTATTATCACTGTCCACAGCCGGGGCATCAGTATTGTAGACTTGACTGTCAGGGGCAGCTAGGTGGTGCAGCGGATGGAGCTCTGGCCTTGGAGTCAGGAGGACCTGAGTTCAAATCTGGGCCTCAGACACTTGACACTTACTAGCTGTGTGACCCTGGGCAAGTCACTTAACCCTGATTGCCTCACCAAAAAACAAAACAAACCCAAAAAACCATTATAGATTTGACTCTGACATCTTGTACTTTTAACTTCACACCGAACCCTTCCAAGGAGGTCTTATCTCTTTGAGTCTTGGTTTTTAAAATACTGCTTGGAGGTTTAAATTTTTTTTAAATGTTCTACTGAAGTCCCCTCCTCTTTTTATTTACATCACTGTCACTTCCCACTGCCCCCTAACTCTCCTCAGGGATGAATAAGTACAGACAAAACAAAGGAACACATTGGCCATGTCTGAAAGTGTATACCTCATTTGGCACCTGTAGTCCACCATCTTTCTGCTTTCTTTCATCCTGATGGAGTGTCGCTTCTGGTTCTACTTCTAGAGTCTCAAAGAGTGTACCAAAGAGGCCAAGTACCCAGGACTTGGTGTCAGGGAATCAGCTGAACCATTCCACAAACCTTAGTTGAATACCTATTCTGTAGAGGTTCACAAATCGAGCGTTAATTGAGTCTTTACTGCATGCAAGGCCCCCCTGCTAAGCACCATGGAGAACCATGATTCTCACCCCCATGGGAGCTCATGGTTTAGTAGGGGAGACACCACGGACTGGCTTACATGGCTAGTCACCTTTCTGTCTGTGACGGGTATATACCAACAGTTTCAGGAGACTGGGAGCTGGAGAGACAACTGTATACAGTTTCTAATGCCCTTCCCCACAGAAGTCACTTGGTGTCAACTTTGTATTTCCTTTGTTTTCTGAGTACACGTTGTCTCCCTCATAGAATGGAAGTTCATTGCGGGCAGGGATGCCTTTATTTGTATTTGTATCCCTAGCACCCAGCCCAGTGCTTAATAAATGCTTGTCAAAAGACCAGAGAGCCCAGGAAAGCATTCCTGGAAGACGTGAAGCTTAACTTGGTCCTTGAAGAAATAGGCTTAAAGATTTGGGGGGGCAGGATACTGACTTCATCACCAGGTACAGCTGATCCTTTGGCCTACCAGGTTGTAAAACTGTATGTCCTTTTGCCACCCGTCTGGAAAATCTGACCCCTGTAGTCTAGACAGCCTAGAAATGAGGAGAAAACCAAGGGAGGTCCATTGAGGCCAAAAACATTGGAAATTTGAAGGGGGTGGTTGTTTATTCCTCACTATTCAAGGGCTAGAGGGCCAGATCTCAGCCCCTGTTCCTCCTCTTCCATCCTATTCCCTCTGTTTGGCCCATTCTGAGTTTACTGGAACTAGGAGGAAGCTGGAAAATTTGAACCAGGCAAGCCATGCTGGTCCCTGGAGTCTGTGTTAGTAAAAAGCTGTGTCCCTTTCCAGTATCTTTCTCACTAGAATGTGTGGCCTTTTCAAAAGGTATGTTTTCTACCCTTCTGCGCTTATGGTCCTAGCTTTGGCTTGTTGGCATTAAGAAAATGACGTCCCATCAGCAAATATTTCCTGAGCATTTACTCATCTCTCCGCTAGGCTTTATGGGGGAAGGAAGGCAATAAGATACATTTAACTAGAAGTACGGGGTGGGTTGTAAACGGATGAGTAGTGTGATAAATGTTACAGCAGTATTGAGGAAGGGTAGATCACCACTTAGGATGTCAATGAGAAACTGGGTTTGAAGGAGGAGGAGGATTGTGACTGTCAAAGAGTTACCAAGAAGCCATTTCAGGGTAGGGATGAGAAATGGGAAGGAGATTATTTGGGAGATAAATGAGGAGAGAGATTAGGCTATGAGAGCAGAGGATTTTTGTAAAGGAATGATGGAGATAAGTGGTCTGGAGAGAATATTTGGACTCAGATTGTGGAGGGCCTTGAGTGCTAGGTTGGGCTCAGGAGTTTGGACTTGATCTTATGTGCAGAGGATAGCCATGCAATGTTTTAGGGCAAGGGAATGGCAGAATGAAGGGTGTTATTACCAATACTGGTGGCTTACAGAATCCTCTGATGACATGAGGAAAACCTGTGCCACTAAACTTTTGTAAAATCTCTCCTTCTGTATAACAGCATAGCCAAAAAGGCAGTGCTTTCTTAGGCTGTGATGGGAGACATAGTGTCCTGGATAAGGGAGGCAATAGTTCCTCCGGATTTTGTTTTGGTCAGACAACATCTGGAATATTGTGAGGAGTTCTGGGAGTCACAATTTAGGAAGACTGAGCTGGAACCTGTCCAGAGAAAGAAAACCAGGATGGTGAAGGGAATTAAAGGTCATTCATGCCAAAAAAACAATCGTTTGAGGAAACTTGATATTTGCTTGGAGAGAGAAGACCTACTGGGGACATGATAGCTATAGCCAAGTAATTGAAGAGCCATCTTATAAAAGAGAAACCATACTTAGCTTCTGCTTGGCTTCAGATGTCAATACTAGGACCAATTGGGTAGAAGTTGCAGTGGTGGATCTTTAGGCTCCATTTAAGGGGGAAAAAATCCAACCATTTCAGTTATCCAAAAGATGGATATTATTGAGTTACCTCAAGAGGCTCTTCCACTGTGGAAGTCTTCAGGCAGAGTCTAGATATCCACTTATTGGAGTTGGTTATAAAAAGAATTCTTGTTCAGGTGCAGATTGAATCAGATGCCCTCGGATGTCCCTTCCAACTTTGAGATTCTGCCATTTTGCATCAGTCAGATCTGTAGGAAGAATACCCGTGGCAGAAAAGGGCAATGAAAATGTAGACCTGGAGTCAAAACTAGACATCAGTGTTGCTGGCCTTTGGAGAGCACCTTGGCCTCCATTTTGTCTCCTCTGGGAGAAGGAGAGAGGAACCCGTTGCTGTTGAGCGTAAGGTATGGTAGCTCCTGTTTTCTGGCTTCCCCTGTATACTTCATGCGTAGTTTGGTTGTGCACGCTACTTCCCTGAAGGGATATGGAGGAAAATGGCAGTCATGAAGATGACTAATCTTGTCCAGTGCTTGTGCAGCACATTTTCCTAAGAAGTTCAGAATGCATCACTCTCATTTAATCTTCACACCTTATCAGTAAGGGAGTAAAAGAAGGGAAAACTATCATTATCTCCATTTTATAGATGAAATGATTGAAGCAGATTACAGTGTGGAGAGCTCAAGCATTGAATCCAACCCAGCTTCTACTTCCTTGTGTCTAGCTAATGGAAATCTCTGGAATTCTAAAACCACCCTTTGTTGTCATAGACATAGATCTCAGAGTTCGAAGAGACTTCAGAAGCCAAGTCTAACTTCCTACCCATTCCTAGAGTCCTTCTTAACAGATGGATACTCATCCAGCTTCTACTTGGACACTGCCAGTGATGGGGAGCCCAGTGCTTTAAAAAAAAATGGCAACCCTTCCCATTGTTCAAAAGCCTTATTTTATAGAAAGTTCTTCCTTATGTTGATCTGAAATCTGTCTCTCTTAACTTCCACACACTAGTCCTAGTCCTGCCTTCTGGAGTAGGACAGAACACAGAACAATTCTAATACATCTTCTGTATGATGGCTTCTCAGACAGTGGAAGATGGCGGTCATGTCACTTCCCACATTAAACCTCCCCTTCTTTGGGGTAACCCCTTTATCTCAGGTCCTTGGCTTTGAAAATTCTTTACCATCTTGATCCCCTTCCTTGGCTGCTGTCCTCCAGTGTGTCAATCTACCTATTAAAATTGGATGTCCAGACCTGAATGCCAGTTGAGAATGTAGTGGAATCATCCCCTCTCTTGTTTTGTACATTGGACTCCCGTTCCTGCAGCCTGGTACCAGATTACTTTGTTTGGCCATGGCCCATCCTGACTTATACTGAAGTAGCATTCTTTAGGACTTCCAGGTGCACCAATGGTTGGTGTGGGAGATGAGGCTGGAGATGCAGGCAGGGCTCATGTAGCATGTGATAGCTGATGATGCTGGAGGCTTCATTCTCTGCTGAGTCCAGTGCTCAGCCTTGTGAGCACACAGGTCAAGAACTTCCAATCTAACCAGTTTTCTTTTCCTTTTGCTACTCCTTGTCTTTCATTTAGCTGTGTGACTGGGCAAATTACTTAACCTCTCTCATTTCCTTCATTTCCTCATCTAGAAAATGAATGATTTGTACCCCATCACCTGTAAGGTCTCTTCCAGCTTTAAATCCGTGATCTAATGGTACCAAGACATGTCACTGGGGCCATGATCCCTTTAGTAGGAGCCCTGGTTCATGGTGCCTCCAGCAGGGGTTCAGAGTGGTTGTAAGGATAAATTGAGATAATGATTATTAAGCACTTAGTACAGTGCCTAGCACATAGTGCTATATAAATGTGAACTGATCCAGTTAATCAGCAAGCATTTATTAAACACCTATGTGACAGGCACTGTGATGGCACACATGGTGGGGAGATACAGATACAAAGAATGAAGCAACCCCAGTTCTCAAGAAACTTACATTCTCCTGGAGAAGACGAGTTCTATATAAGTTTAAAAGACTTCCCCCTTGAAGGAATGGGAGGATGAGAACCGTTTGCTCCAACGCCCATGAAGATGGCTAAAGCAGGCACTGTGGAACACTTAGAACTTGGTCAGACATCAAAGATACCAAAGCCATTCACTGCATCCCAGGCCACCACCAGTCATCTTGACTTTAGTCCTGCCACTGGACTTTGATGACTCTGGAACAGATCTCAAGGCTAATGACTTTGCTCAATTCTGCCTCACTCAAATCCAGTTTACCTGCAGGTCTGGACATTATTGTATGATATCATTGGTCCTGTTCAAAAATGAAGGACAATAACAACAACAACAACACACAAATGCATGCATGTGCAATACACATTCTTACACTAGTGAAAAACTAAGAGCAGGTAGTGTGGTGCAGTGGGAAGGAGCGAGTCCTGAATTTGGAA